GACCAGGGGCAAATTTTAACAATGTCATGAAAAAGCAAACCTTACCCCACACCAAGCTTTACTGACCTGTGAGTTGGGCTGCAGCCCAGCGTGAGGGGTGGATGTCCTCTGTAGGTTCTCCAACATGAGTGCCTGAAAACAGCACCCAAACAGACATTTCAGCAGAAGCAACAACAAAAAAACAAGCTAGATATACTGATTTACAGTTCCTAAATGAGATAAGCTCATGTGTTTTCCTCAGATCACACTGCGAGTGTGAGAAATTGAGTTGAACTCAGTTGCGCCCAGAGAGACACAGTCAGTCTGACGCATCAGTATTAGCATGGCAAACTCATCATAGGAAACACATAAGACATACACATGATGTACACGTAAGGTACAATTAGTAACATTTCCTAACTTACAAGTAATTAAGTTGTTGTTAAGTTGTCATGTGGAGTGCTTCTAAATGATAAAGTTGTGAATTAAAAGTATTTTGTGAGGAATGTGATCTACTTTCAACTTGTGTTATTTTGTCCACTTTAGTCATTTGTATTTCTTTCCTGTTTCCTTGTCTGTTTCTCGTTTGACTCAGTTATGATTTGCTATTCACACCTCTCACTGTCATGCTTTATCATTTTATATTAGACCAAAGAATTACAAACAAGTCACACTTCTGATGCTGAGAGATGTTGGACATGCTAAGAAGTTCCACTGTAGTGCTATTTTAAGAAACCCAGTATCTGAGTATTTTTTCCTCTCAAACTCATACTTTTTACTCCTTTTTGACAGTTGGTGTAGTCTACCTACCTCTGATAATAAGTGAAAAGCTTCCTAGAGTAGGGCTAGGTGATACTGATGAAATATCTTACAAATGTTTCACAGCAGCACAATATGTGACGGTATTTTAAGTCTGTTTTAATAAAGTTCATGAAGCCCCACAGCCTGAGAACTACCACTCTGTGGTATAATAAGCTGCTAAGATTGGACTGTTTTCTTCTGTTTTCTTCTCTTACAATTGCAACACAGGGAAGCTTACATAATACTGCAAACATTAACAAGGCAGAAAGCAAATTTTCAGAGTAGAAACCTATTTATTTAGTTGTTATGTATTCTGAACTGTCCTATCAAATCTAAAAGCAAAACGCTACAGTTAACTGTATGGTAATAAAGATCCAATAGAAATTTTAATACAAACAGCTGAGCAACAGGGGCTCTACTTTTTAAAGTTGGTAAATACAAGTTATAAAAGTTATCACAAATATTATGCTTATAACACTCTCGTTCAAAAGTTTTGAATCCCTTGCCATGTATTTCATTATTTTATATACAGTAACTTATACAATGTGGACTGATAAATAATAACCAGCAATTATCCATTTACATAACTGTTTGTTATCTGCCTTGAGATTTGATCTTCTCTTCTGAAATATGATAAGTGGACGATAATTTGACAATTTAAATTTTTGTACAATACTTGATGTTCCCAATCACTCCAGAAACACCCACAGCTCTGCTCGTTATGTGGGCATTTTAAATATCTTAATTTGTATTTACAGCTTCCTGGTGGTGTTCTATGCAGGACTGACAAATCAGAACCGTTCTAAACATGCATCTGCAAGAAAATAGCCAATATATTGATTAAAACTCTCGATTATAAACTTTTAAACAGTGATTACAAACTTGTCAACACTATTGTGCATCAACACTGCTAAAACTGAAAATCAGAATCACGGTGTGACAGCAATACCGGTATAAATTCGCACGATATATTCAACACCAAAAATTTAACTACTAAGTATAATATAAACCTGTGATCCCACCGCGCGCAGCGAGCACCGTGTCAAGCTCCACACAGACAGAGTAAACAAACCACACGGTCGCTGAGTGGTCGCTCCATTTCGAGTGAACTGCCTCTGCGTCTCGCAGGACCCCGCGGTCCAGTCCAGAGGGAGCCCAGTGTACACTGACGAGGAGCAGTGTTTGTTTATAGGCCTGTTTTACTCCAGGTGGGAGGTGCGTAAAGTGCCCCATTCACCAGGCCGTTACAGAAACTCTCCCGGCCATAACAAGCACAACAGAAATCAGCTTTATCACCATAAGGACTGATTTACATGGCAAAACAGATGCAAAGAGGACAAATGGGTGCTAAACGTCACTTCACACTACGCTGCACAGATCGTCTAAAACATATGCGAACTATTTCGAGTCTTCGAAGACAAAAGGATCCTTCCTATGTTATAATAAAATAGTGTAAAGTTAAATAAGTCTCTGTTACACTATTTAAACTAAGTTAACCTAGTAACATTTAAATGGTGTGACAGACACTCTTATAAGCTTGCGTGGCTGGCTTAGTAAGAGTATTAGCCGGATCTAAGTCCATCGAGCCAACTCCTTGCGCGTCCGAATTAATTTTATTCCCCAGCCAATTTGTTACGTTGAGGATCTAAAACTTTAGCTAATGACTTTCCGCTCAGTCGGTCGCTGTTTTCCAGCCCCGAGTGTCTGTCAGCCGTCCGTCTGAGCCATCTGAGAAGCCGGGCGCGCCCCCGCGGACCACAAACACACACTCATACAGGGCGCGGGCACGAACTCAACTCACAAACCTCAGGATCACACGACCGAGCAACCGACTTCCCTTGCAAAAAACACACATACAGGGCGCATAATTGGGACCTATTCTGACTCTTACACGTAGTCGAGGACCTACTAGGTACTGTGAGCGCGCAGGTGGCGTTTTAAAACAGCGCGCATGCACTAAATCAGCATTCCCGCTCCCGAAGCCTCCGACACTTCGGCCTGCCGCTTAGCTCAGCTCTCCGCTGCGAGTGAACTTGATTAGCAAAGGCGCCCCGCTTTTTAACTACAGCCCAGCCGCTGGAGCAAACTCACCCCTTTCAGGCGCTTGATGAGCGCGTTTTTCTGGCCGCTTTTGGCGAGGCCTCGCTGCTCCAGAGCAGCTTTTAAATCCGCCACACGAAGCGAATGAAGCGGCTTCCCATCCAGCGTAACATCTTCGAGCTCCGCCATTTTGCCTCCCCCTCTGCTCGATCGCTCGAACTTCGGCCTGCGACGCGTTGACGTCACGCGCCGGAGCCTTCCGGAAAAAGCCGAAGAGCGCGACGACAACAACAACAACAACAAACACAGACGAAATTAAAGGGGACTTCTACCGATTTTTAAAAATGTCTGCATAATTTCTACATAATCCTGAAAAACAAACTCATTGTGAGGGGTTGTTGTTAAAAGAGGCATTGCAGAAAAACTTGTACTCGGATTTCTTTAGAATCCGGAAATGAATAAAGGAACGGTGACAGGAAGCAGGGGTCTATAATGCAGATATAGCTATTTTTTTTATAATTCAAAATGACGAGAGCGCCCTAGATGAGTGAATCAGTGAATCGGGTATCAGGCAGCCTATTCGCGTACTCATAACCATTTTTTGTGACAACTGTCTGTAAGTTGAGTTTAAGAGGCAACAAAACATTAAATTATATCACTTTCACCACCGCTGTCAACAATTCTCACCCAGCAAAGTTTCTCTAGAATGGAGCTTTTCACGTCAACACACTCTCACTTTGTTTACATCTAAATACTTTAATTATGCAGAAACTTTGAAAGATTGGCAGAGTTCCCTGCTCATTAAAGATTCGTTAGTTTAACAGCACAGTTTAGAATTAACACAGCATATGCAGTAATGCAATTATTTTTTAAAAAGTGTAATAAAATACAGACTGAGACAATACTCTGTTACACGTTTCTCAACTATTGTTGAACAGTTTAAGTTCAAATGTAAAACATTTTTAAAATGGACCAGACAGATTATTATACACTCATAAATGTTTTATAGTCTATCAAGAGTCCTGAGAAAACCGTGCTGTTAATTACGAGCTACTGACTCAGCCAAACCTGTTTGAGGAGGTCTTCAAGTAATTCAGGTTTTTAGACTCTAATCTAGGTTTAAAGACGTTTTTTGTGTTTGACAAAAACAGGGTGAAGTGTATTAAGGTTTCCATTAAAGTACGGGCTGAGATAAATTGATTTCTTGAAATAGTTTGAATTCAAGCGTAGACTCTACTATAGTTCAGACTGATGACTGCACCCACTTCTGGCCAGACACCATTGGTGGCATTTATCAGTGGGTGGTCTCTGAAGATCTTTCTCAGGCTGGTCACACTGGGGATGCATTTTAGTAAAAAGTGTAAATGGACTCCAGCCAAAGTTTTTTTGGGAGCAAAACACATGTTAATGCCAGGTGTAAGCAGCCTGCTAAGAAGCATTTCAGCCATGACTGTTTTTTGAATGAGGCACAATCAGAACAGAGGTCATTTGCATTTGCATGCAAAAGTTTGAGCACCCCCATCAAATTACGTTTTGTTTTTGTTTTTGTTTTCTAAGTAAAAATAAATTATACATCTACAGGGAACACACTTCTGCACATTATAATGCACACTTATGCAGCAAATCAATAGATAGTGTGCACTGAAATTTGCAAAAACATATATTTAAGTTTATTCTCTGTGGAAGACGTTAACCTATTTTCACTTTGAAAATCAACAAAACATGTAACTTGTGTTCAAACCTTCGCATACAATTCTGTGAGTCTTACAGGCACAGTAACCAAATCAGCCTGTTAAATTCTAAGCAATGAAGAGAGGCTGGAAAATGGTGATGTAAAAAAGAGTTATGACTCTTTTTGGTACATAAACTCACATAAACTTAATGAGACCCCAGGGGAAAATACAAAATACAAAAACAATGTAGGATAGGATACCTTTAGACATTCAAAAATGTTAGCACACAAACACAGTAGGGGTAATAAACAGACAAATTCCTGAAAATTGCGTTGTAACAAAACTGTATTTGGAAAAAAATGTTTTTATGACAAGTACCGAAGAAAGCCTAGCTACATATCAAATAATCATGAAATTACCCATTACATACCAGGTGTCAAATGAAACCCAATAAAGAGTAAAATAAGCGCAAAAATGGGTGTCAAAAATACATTCTAGTACATCCCACATTCTTAAAGCAAAATTTTTTCTTATTGAAATACGAATGAAAATTTGTTGCAGGAAAACATCCCTGGTAACATGTGCATATATATGTATTTGATCAACTTAAAGCCATGCATACAATTGATTAAAAAAACAAACAATAAATAGGATTACAATGTTTTCTATAAGGCCATCTAATCTAAGCATTACAATGGTTTCAAATGTATTTGAGCTTTTTTGATTGACAAAGAATCCTTTGAAAGAGAAGGTCACTCAGAAGATGATGATACGAGTCATTATGCTTTTGTAAGATAGGCAGTTCCAGCCGGAATGAGAGAGTCTGCAGGGCTGAGAATCCTCCCAACTGTAATGCTGGGTTGTGCAGTAATACTGATATGATCCACTTGGTGGCGGTCTGAGACGGTACAGAAAGCGGTAAGAGGAAAAACCCATCAGCTGCAGCTGTACGCAATTCGAGAGTTCAAAACTTCAGCCTATCTATGTTAACACTAGCAGGCTAACCAACATGTCAGTGCATGAGGTTACAGATAACACTAGCAGGGCAGCAAGAACAATACAGAGGATTCTTTCATCACATTGCTGAGAAGAGTGAATCTAGAAGACAAAGATAAGATGGTTAAAAAAAGAAATGGAAGACAAAGTAAGGAATTAAGGTTTCCTGGTATTGTGCCTGATGTGGGCCATGGGGGAGAGCTGTACAACCATGACGGCTCTATCAGCCTGACTGCTATACAGAGAGGTAACAGGTTTATGCCCAGACCTGTGGATGCACCACAGAAAGATATGTAATCCTTAAACTGGTGACATGTAAGCAAAACACACGCTTGTGAAACTTCAAAGCCGCTCTGAACACTTTTTTATACACGATATTTCACATACAAATTGGCTGATATATATTGCTGTATTCCAGTTAAAGGCATAACATACATCTATGAGCAAAGGTAACAGGTTTGACGCTTGCAGTAGCCTATATTTGCTTCTCCTTTTTTGCATTGTGATTTATCTAACAGTTACTTCACTTTTATGTTAATGATGTTGCTTTTTCATGTTAATATGACTAACAGTTGTTTCCCTGAAATTCATTCACAATGGGCATGCTTCTGTCTTTACATGCAGAACCGCAACCTAAGAGAGGAAATGGGGGCAAATGAAGGGAAGCAAAAAATTTCGGAACCATGAGAGAGATAGAGAAGGAGGTAGTCTGAAAGAAAACAGACAGGAGAGAGAGAGGAGACCAGCTGAACAGGTTTCTGATTCAGTCACCGTCATGGGAAAGGACGTAATCCAACGGATTACAAAAATCCCTCTATCAACTGCGCTTCCCATCTTTGTTTTGAATCAAGCATGAGTTCCTTCTTGCCTCTCCACCTGTATACACATTCCAACCAAAACTGAATAAGACGGCGCTCTTTGGATGAATAAGCGCTTGTGCCATTTCTCTCTTAATGACATTGAAAGTCAGCCTAAAATCATTTTTTAAAAACATGGTTAGGTCCCTGGTCACATTAAGCACGAATCATACCATACCATTTAAAAAATGAAATTCTTGTCTTCCTGTTAATCAAAATTTATAACTATGTCTATCTCTAAAACAGAATTTTGATTATATTACATGCACCAGCGGACAGAGAAAATATTAACCAACAATATGACGTTTTACCTCCTCCTCCAACCATGCTCACCTATTATGAAGCTAAATGATCTGCTAGCTCAAAGCTCCTCCCTTATAGCATGTTTCAATCAAAATACGTCACTGTACGGAATGAAAATGTGTTATGATTTGTTATCTTTACTTTAAGGCATGAACTGTAGCAGCCTAAAGGCCTATTCACACCGAGACCCAACTTTTACAAATAAAAAAAAACACGCTTTGGAAACTGCCAATGCATATTAATTCATGTCAAGTCCGACTGCAACCCAGAGTGAAGTTTTTAATCAGAGCTACCTCCATTTTCTGTGTTCAGAGCATTCAAATCAGGTTGACCAATTAGAGCTCCGCTGTCATGGTTGCAGTCCAAACAAATGGCAGCAGAACTACTCTTGCTTGTTACAAACATGCTTGCTAATTATAAAAAGTGGGGGTTACAGAAAATACATAACAGATAGTAGCTGAGAGGCTGAGAATGATGGTGAATATATTAGTACAACATAGCAACTGTTTATATGCATTTTTGTTTATCTAAGAGTAGAACGGGTAGGTTTTTTTGTAGAATGGTTGTATTTGGTTTGTGTGCCGTTGAGTCGCAGTGCTTAAAGGAAAAACGCAAAATTTATCATTGCTGCTACTCGAAAAATCCATGTTTACTTCTTTCTCTAAGTTCTCAAATTGTTAATAAACAAAACCACAAAACCATGGTGTGAAAGTTCCACTACGTCAAAAATTGCACCCATATATTTCGTCCAAAAAATCTTGCTTGGTGTTAGGGCTGAACAATTAAGGCAAATGTCTAACTACAAATTTTCTGACCAATTCTGAAATTGTGATTTAAATACATTTATTTTATATAAATTCTTTTTTTCTGCCAAGAGGACCAGGACATTTTTTTCAGATGAGGCTTGTGCCAAACTGCCTGTTCACCACAATTATTTGGTTAAATTTCCCCATTTAAAACTTGTTGAGGCAACATTGCAGTTCTTGCAATTTGAAAATTGCACTTTTTCAAATTGCAATTTCTATAAAAAAACAGTTAATCATTCAGCTCGGTGTGAATAGACCTTAACCTGTTTCATGTGACAATTCAGGCCATCTGTATAATGCTGTACCTAAATAAACAAAACCACACAGTAGCCTATTTATTTTGTACGTGTGAAATAGAGAAGAACAGCCCCTGACCTAACCACGGATAATTGTGCCCTGTGTGCGCGACCATCAACCATCAACCTAACTTTGTTGTAAATCAACCGAATACAAAATAAAGCCAATACAAAATGTGCAACAAACATTCCTCACACCAAACCAAACACCCATCAATAAGTTATTAAGACGCACAACAGTGTGCTAGGCACCCAGAAAACAACAAACAATTCAATAACGAACGTAACGCTTAGAAACTGGCACTCATACTCACACACGCACACATACACAACCACAAATTCACCATCTCGAGGCAAGCATCACCATCGAATCACTGTGTTACCGGTATAATCAATCAGAATACATCTCTGAATACAATCAATAAAGAAATGTAATAAAAATACAAACACCCACAAATAAGGCATTCTGTCATGAAACTTTGTAACCAAAGGGAAAAAAAAGAAAAAATAGAAGATATCAAGATATTTCTGCCAGTCGCTGAAGGAGCCCAGAGAAACCAGCGGCTTGCTGGGACAGGTCAGCCACTCGGTCCACCATTTCCTGCGTGGCTGGAACTGATGGGTAATTTTGAGCAGCGCCTTTGGTTGCAACAACAACAGCCTTCAGGGCCTGACAGAGACGTCCACTAGAGGTGGTGACCTGGAGAGACAGACAGTGAATTGTGTGTGTGAGTTAAGGTTGTATGTGGGCAGACTTAAGGACACAACTGTGTTGCTAACTTCATTTTTGTAGACTTGTTCACATGCGCACACATACATACATTTTCTTCACAGATTGCTCTAATCTGTTTGTCTTCTTACAATGACAGCTATGTTGAAAAAGAAAAACAAAACAAAAAAAACATGCCATGTGCAAACTGCAAACCATAGGCAAGTTCTGATAACGGAGTTCACTTATAAGACTCTTCTTAGTCTTCAGAAACCTGGATTTTCTGAAACCTCTGTTTCTGTCAGTTAAGTCATAGGAAAAAACAGAGGAATCTAATCCCAGATCAGCAGTCCTATTCTGAGAAGCTTTGTGAATACGGGCCCTGGTGTCATGACACGTAGGGGTGAAAAATGTATTTAATTAAATTAATTGATTATAATAATATCTAACAAAATATGCACTCCATTTTTTGACAAAATATTTGGCTATTTTCAAAAGTATAAATACAAAAAAGAGCATATCTGGTTTGTTTTCACTGTGCATATTCCACTATGATTTAAAGAGTTTCCTGCCCCAATTTAGTTGCAGCCGATTCCCATCTGGTAGCTGGGTCTCCCCATCACACAATGCTAAAAGCTGGGAGAGTGAAGGGCAGCACAAAAAGCACCACTGCATCTTTTCAAACTGCTAATGTAGCGCCATTGGGCAACTCAACACCCCTTCCTCACCCCTTCCTCGGTGGCCGTCAAGCTTTCGTTTTTTTTATGACGAGGATTTGCCCTCTCTTGCATTTTTTTGTGCTAAATAATAAGTATGATCCCTCATTTGTCAAATAATAAGTATGATCCTTCATTTGAGTTCTCAAACCTCTCTCAACACAAAATGGTTAGACAGCACCGGCAACAACCACTGATTCTTTTCCTTTCTACATCTTACAACCGTTGCTATAGCGCCACCAAATTCAAGCTGCCACTTCGGTGTAAAAACACAAAAGACACTCTCTATAGCCAGTGTTCGGTTTGTCCGTTCTGGGCTACTGTAGAAACATGGCGGTACAACATGTTGGCCTCTGTTAGAAGATGAATGTAGATATGAAGGGATCATTCTAAGCTATTGAAAACAGAAATTCGTAGTTACAGGTGATAATACACTAATGAAAACATGGTATACTATATTTAATTTCTCTAATATATCTCCCTAAATCTTACACACTGCACCTTTATAAATCCTTCTCACACCCAAAGCCAAGCACATCATCAGGACATTGTTACAGGTAATGTTCAGGCTGTGCGTCATTCACACATACAGCACATACAAACAGGTGCACACGCTCATACATGCCATGAAAATCCTGATGAACAGGAGCTGACATTCACAGCATGAACAGCCAACAGATCCTTCCTTTCTTTATCATGCATAAAAATACACTCCTGCAACATTTTTCTCTCATAGAAACTTGACCGTAAAAACACAAACATTCTGCTTTTCTGGCCATGCTGCATTGCTTTTAACAATAACTTTATGGAGCACTTTTCATAGTGGTGGCAGTATAAAGTGCTTTACAGACACATGATGAAGCTTAACAGTAAATATATATATATTTTTTTTGCCATACGCATTAAATTAAAATCATATAAGGCAAATGACATTGATCAAATTAAAAAAGATAAATATAAAAAAAAAAGATTTTTAATTAAATGCTAAATTAAAGAAAAACATTTTTAAAAGTGAGCGCCGAGCTTGACTACCCAATAAAAGGTGGAATTAAGCTCCACAGTTTAGAAGCACAATAACCGAACGAGTCATTCCATGTTTTCTGTAGTTTTATGGAAACTAATTTGCAGAAGGCAAATCTACAGATCTAAAATTATGCGTTAGAACATAAACAGACAGACATTCTGTGAGGTATGTAGATGTTTTAAGACCATTTAGTGCCTTAAACACTAAAAGTTACAGTACTTTAAAATCTAGATAGAAACAGATACAGTTAGCCAGTGCAGTTCTTTCAAAACAGGTGTCATATGAGCTCTCTTTTTTGCTTTTGTTAGGATCTGTGCTGCTGCGTTTTGTATGAGCTGTAGAGGAAGGAATGTTGACTTAGGTAGCTCAGTAAAATGAGCATTGCAGTAATCAGTTCTGCTTGTAACAAATGCACAAACAGGTTTCTCTGCTTCAATCTGAGATAGAAAAGGCAGAACTTTAGCGATATTTCTTAAATTAACAACAACTACTTTAGTGACTATGTTTCCATGCGGGATGAAACAGAGCTCAGAATGTAAGACAACATGCAGTTTTAATACTTCAGGTTTGGTATATGAAGCAAATGAGCCCAGCTTATCATAAAGAATCTTTCTCTGACTTTTAGCAGCAAAAATCAGTATTTAAAATTTTTCCTCAATTTAGTTTTGCATAGAAGCAGCCATGCATGCGTGCAGGGTGAATTTCTGTTCAACCATATCCGCAAAGGGCCGTGTGGCTTGTTCATTCCAAACAAGCAGGAGCACACCTGATTCCACTTCTTTAATCAATTGCTCAGCCTTCAAACAACTAATCATGTGCAGTACTGTTTTTTTAAAAACCTGCAGCCACACCAGCCCTTTGGAGATAAGATTGGACACCCCTGCTGTAGCATGATGTACAAAATACACTCTTGTGATATTTTCACTCACAAAAACAAACTTAAAAAATCTACTTTGAAAAATTATACGTTCAGTTTTTCTGGCTATAACTACACGTCATCGTATTTCTCTATAATGTATTGTATGTGTTCACATTTGAGCCCTGCTGTAACCTCCCAGGTATTGTACTGGGTCTCATGCAGGCAAGTGTCAACTTTATCAGGATTTTGACTCTGGCTTGCATTTACGTTTAACCTCTTACAATTACACCCTGTTTAATTACCGTTTAATTCCAGGTAAATAACATTAAAACCATGTAAAAGAGTATGTTTGAAAGAGGCTTTAGACCAGCCACAGTCTGTGACATTGCGTGAACTTGTGATCTCCTGACAATAGTACTTAGTGTACTTTTAAAAATTACTCTGAATTTCACCAATAAATCTGCACCAAATGAATTGTGATGAAAGCAGAGATCTTATCATTCATAACTGAACTAAATTCCTTGTGAGTTCAGAGATTTACACCCCTAATGATACCTATACAAAAAAAAGTCTAAGAAGGAACTTACCTTTGCCCTAAGGTCGGAGGAGCTGAGGAGACGGGCAAGCGTATCACCAATAAAAACCAGCTTGTGTGCAGTCACAATTAGACTCTTCCCCTTAGAAACAAAGATCCGTGGCGGCTGGTTCTCCTGAACGCTGTTGAACAGTGTGTCAATGGCGTCGCCCAGGCAGGAGAGGTGAGCCAGGCTTTGGGATGAATAGAATGAGAGAAGTTCTGAATCCTCTAGAGACAGAGAGCCTTGGAGAGGAGGAGAGGGACTCAACTGGTGAAAAGAAGAGAGTGATAAAACAACTAATTACTGTTTTTTGTCTTTAGTGGCAAAGTAAAATGGTGAACTATATATTTCAGTGTGCTCTTGATTTTGTACAGAAAAAAGGCAGTGTGTAAATTGCTTACAGACTGCAGACTTCTGCAAACACAAAAATATTCACACTTTTACGTGTCTATGTGCATTTGTTTGCATGTGCATGTTGTTGCTCACTCTGGCATCGCTCGTGGAGATGACATGTGATGTACCATTCTCTATCTGTGAGTCTGGAGATGGCTCTGGCTTTCCCTGAATTAAGACACACAACCAGAGCTCAATCAGACCACACAGCCCAAACTTCTTGATTACAGAAGGATGAGGTAAGCAAATTTACAACAATTTGTACTGTAAATAAAGGGTAGATATCAGTGAACCAGTTCACGATAGACACGTATAGGAAGTGTCAGAGGAAGTAGTTTCATTGAGGCAGACAGGTAGAGATATATATCAGGAATGCACCAATCATTCATTTTTATGTTCAATTCTGATTCTGATGTCGACAGACGATTTTTGGCTAATTTTTATTAGACTTTTTAAACTTACACTGCGCGAGCTAAATGAAGACACATTAGCACATTTCCAGTACTTTCTATTAGCCAAAATACTAGTGTAAATAAAACCTTTTTTTTATTATGTTATAAATGCCAAACTGGCATTTTAAATGTTCAATTTTAAATCAGTTGCCTATTTAAATTACATGGACCAAACAATGTGCTACATTAAAAGTATGAGGCAACTGGCTGTTTGGCAAAATAAATCATGCACAATTATGGTGTAGCCGCAGCTGCTTTCAAATAGAGTGCAGGTAAACTTACCTGCCTCGCATTATTTACATCATAAAATTACAACACAGATCTGCCAAAATAAAAACGATAAATTGGCCAATTGCTGATTTTGTGTTTTGGACAAAAATCTGCCAAGTCTGAGCTTGGACATTTCACAATACATGATATGCAGTGTTACCTACACATAGATTATACTTTGCCAGTGTGCCCAGGTAGATTTTGCCCATTTAAAAAAATAGTTTGGCATTTCTTTTTATTAATCCATTTAAAAAAAAACAATATGCAGTGCACTTTGCAATTGGACCACTATGTAAGTGCAGCTCAGGGTGGGGGAAAGCAAGGGAGAGTGTAAGACATGGTGGAAAAGTATCCAGCAAGAGCATTACATTAGCTAATAGATGAATATTGAGAAATATTTTAAGAGGAGGCTGCATGAGGAAAGTGACAGATGTAGCACAGGTGTCTTAATTTGTGCATTTCTGCACATTTCTCAGGTCAGCGTAAACCTTACTGACATACAGTCAGGAGTAAGGGCTTTGTAATAGACAAGTGCATTTTGGTCATTTCCAGTAGACATTTTTAACTAAAAGACGTTAGTTGAGTTCAGCTTGCAACTTTGTTTTTGATGTGTTTAAGTCCTTTCACCAGTGACTGTGGTTTTGTGCTCTGTGTCAGCTGCAGGTAGACCATACAGAAACAGAACCAACCAGACCAAGTTCCTACTGTCAGAAATAAAACACTTTGAGTCACAATTTTCCCCTGTCAGAGCAGCAGTGGTTTTCGTGCTTCTAAACAAAACCCTCTGATATGCTGTAGTGCGACCTACATGAGCCGTCCTTTACAGCACTCTAACAAAGACTGCAGATAAAAAACTAAGCTACAGGCACATGGTAAAGTTGTGCCCCTGGTCAAATGACATGTTTTGTAGACTTCTACGTGAAAATAATTTAAAGTGTCCTCTACAGAGAACGCACTTCTGCACATTTTAGTATACTGAATTTTACATATTGGTGAAAAAAATTAAACATAAATGTCATGTTTAAGCTTGTTCCCTGTAGAGGATGTGTTAACTTATTTTCACTTACAAAATTAACAAAACATGTAATTTGACCAAGGGTGTTCAAACTTTTGCATATGACTGTATATACCAAGTGGCAGTGTGCATGGTGCACCAGGCAGCAGGACAAACCATCCGTTTTTTGTTAATATTTACATGGGAGTTTGTTGACAAAAAAAACGGTCTTCATGAATAAACTAACTTTTGGCTGTTAGCCAGATAATGTTTCAGGGAAAATTGGTTTGAATGACCCTGTAAGCTCAGGTATCTAACCTGCAGTTTGACGTATCCCACACTGTCTCCTGCAGGGTATGAAGGAGGGGGTGCAGGGGTTAGTCCGATCCCTGCATACTCGTTCCCTTGTTCCTCATCCTCGGTTGTTTGTACAGTTGGTGGCAGAGAGGTGGGTGCTGGGGGCAAGGGGAAAGCTGCAGGTGGAGGAGGGGGCAGCGGGCGCTCCTGGATCCAGCTCCCTTTACGTGAGCCCATCCCACCCGCCATAGGTTTGACCTCAGCCACTGGCAGGGCAGGAAGTGGCCTCCGTGACAGAGACTCCTGCGAAGGGAGGCGGGGCCTAGTCTGAGTCTGCAAAAGGGAGGCGGAGTCCTCTAGAGCTCGGCGAACCATAGAGAGCAGGCTGTCGGCTGGAGGGGTGGAGCCACACACAGAGAGGGCGGGGAGAAGGTCTGCGAGCCTAGACCAGATCTGCTGAAGAGGAGACGGGACATCCCCAACTTGACCCGCCTTCCACATGGAAAGTATCTCAGCCAACGAGGAGGCTAGGTCCCTGGAAGGCGTAGTGGTGACCGAGGCAGAGCTCAGTGCTGATTGGACGAGAATTGAGAGGGAACTTTTCCACTGGAAGTCGCCAGAGCCAGTGCTGGACACAGACAGGCGGCGGATCGGGACATCCAGAGTGAGAGCAGGCATGTCGTAGATACCGCCATCGACTTCCGAGACATCCTCAGGTGCTAATTCCGGTTTTCCTGGACTAGGGATGGAGTAAACTTCAGACTTTCCTCCTGCGTCCACCACCACAGGTCCAGGCATCTCACCAGATTCCAAGGGCAGACCTGGAAGACTTGGAACGCTGTAAACATCATCTTCAGCTTCAACACTCGCTGGGGCATTGCAGGCTGGATTCAGAGCAAGGGTGGGAACATCATAAATCTAAAACAAGGTGGCAGTGGAGGAGGGAAAGAGAAAGTTTGTTATTCAAAAGGACCTGATAATTGCTCTTTTAACAACCCCTGCAGTTCTCAGCCACTGTTCAGTTAAACAATAGCTTTGTTCTAAAGGCCATTGTGTTAGAGCTCAACTGGTTCTGTCTTTCTACAGTGGGGAACTGTGCATAAAGGTTAAACTGTGCTCTTTTCCTTTGCTTTTGTGGTCCCTTAACAGAGAGCCCATATAGTGCTTTGGCCCCTATTCATCGCTTATGTGTGCATGCCTTGTGATGACGCATGCCTCCAGTGACCTTGCTGCTTGCTGAGGGCCCTTGTGGCCTAATGCTGATCTAAAACGAGAGCACAGGGAAGCAGACTGCACTTTACACCATGTTATTAAAGAAAGGAAGTAGAAACTCTGTATTAACTATGTATTATGTATATGTTATTAACATTCTGTAACCAGTAATTACATATATATAGACTTAATTATACTACTGAAGTTGATGGGCAGGGAGGGGCAATCCCAAAAACATATCTGAGGTAACAGTAACGATTAATAGAAAACAGATGAGAGGGAGAGGGTGTGTGGGTGGAGAGAGAGAGAGAGAGAGAGAGAGAGAGAGAGAAAAAGAGTCAGGCCACCCAGTCCTCCAGAGACAGACGGGTGTGACCAGCTGAACGAGGGAAGGGCGACAGACAGATGGGATTAGCTCACAGCAGTGAAAAACAGGTGTGGCCCTTAAATGAAGGAATGAGAGAGGGAGTGAGAGAGAGAGAGACCAAGAGAGAGAGACAAAAATTGTACGGAATTGTAAACAGATGGTGCGATGAATGCAGAAGAGGAGAAGAGTTTGAATGAAGGAGGGATGAGTGGAGCTGACATATTTAGAAGGGGCTGCATGGAGACAGTGTCATGTTCCTGTTCTCATACCTCTGATCGCTGGTCAGTGAGTAAGGGGACGGTGCGGGGGGTGTTATAAATGCTGTCATCCTCCTCCATAGATACCGCAGGAACTGGGTGCTGCCATCTGTTGGTGGGTGGAGTATCATACACCTGGCGAAAAGACATATTTAATTCAGTGTCTTTTTAACTCCTTAAATGCCCATGCTGCAATTCATCGCTTCTATAACTTAAAGGGCCCATTTCACAGAAACTTGATTTTTTTTTAAATATAAGTTTGATGTAGTCTGTTAACACTGTTAAGGTCTGAAAACATACCATTCAATCCCCAGTCATCCCAACAGAAATGTTATAAGTGGACCTCAGGGAAAAAACATCATACAAGAAAAATGCATGGTATTGGCCCTTTAAGAATAATTCAGCCAGTTTGTGTAGTTTTCCTTGTAATTACTGAGTAATAACCCTTAGGATGTAATAAGTCTGGGAATTTTGGGGCTTAATTTTCTGTAATCAGTGAACTAACATCCTTGTACACAGAAATGAAGGGCATAACCATTTGAATATGCATCAGAAATTCAAATTTGTAACACTCTATTGAAACCTAAAACTTTATCTCCAATACAGCCTCTTATGTATCAACTTTGGAAACTGTTGTCAGCGAGGCATCTCTGTGCATCCTACTAGAGTAAAGTGAGCAAGGAGGAGGAGCTTACACTAAGAACACATTCATTCTAAAATGACTGGGCTTTTTAAAGCTCAATAATATATTCTGAGGGTCATGATTTTTGACGTTTTTTTTGTTAGAGGTCAGAGTGGCCGGCACTGAAAAAGATCTGTTGGAAAACTTTCATTTACCTGAGCCGCACTAACGCGTGGAATATATAGCCAGGGCTCTGCAGAGCTTTTTAGCGTTACAATGATAAAACATCAAACCGCAACTTGACCTCAGAATTGAAAAACATATCAAACTTGAAATACACTCACTGAGCACTTTATTAAGTACACCTACCTTGTTTCCAGACTCATTGTCCATTTTATCAGCTCCACTTACCATATTGGTGTACTTTGTAGTTCTACAATTACAGACTGTAGTTCATCTGTTTCTTTGCATTATATGTTTCCCAATTTTACCCCATTATTCAGTGGTCAGAACCCCCACAGGACCACCACAGAGCACATATTATTTGAGTGGTGGATCACTTCCAGCAATGCAGTGATACTGACATAGTGGTGATGTGTTAGTGTGTGTTGTGGTGGCACGAGTGGACCAACAAAAAATATCAAGCCAATAGTGTCCTGTCGGCAGCATCCTGTGACCACTGGTGAAGGACTAGAGGATGATGAACACAAACTGTGCAGCAACAGATGAGCTACTGTCAATGACTTTACATCTACAAGGTGGACCAACAAGGTAGGAGTGTCTAATAGAGTGGAAAGTGAGTGGACAGTGCTTAAAAACTCCAGCAGCACTGCTGTGTCTGATCCACTTGTACAAGCACAACTCACACTAACACGCCACCACCACGTCAGTGTTACTGCAGTGCTGAGAATGATTTACCACCCAAATAAAACCTGCTCTGTTGTGGTCCTGCGGGGGTCCTGACCACTGATTAATGGGGTAAAGTTGGGATAACAAATAATGCAAAGAAACAGATGGACTATAGTCTGTAATTGTAGAACTACAAAGTGCACCTATAAGGTAACTGGAGCTGATAAAATGGACAATGAATGTAGAAACAAGGTAAGTGTACCTAATAAAGCGCTCAGTGAGAGTACATGCATCATTACAGCCCTAATGTGCAAGCATGTAAGCTGTGGACATGGTGCAAACATTAATATATGACTAGAAGACACATGTTCAGGTACTATTAAATCAAATCAAATTTAGATTTTTGTGCTACACCCCTAAAAGAAATTAATGCAAATTTCATTGACACTCAAAACCTCAGCTATTTTACATTTTATGATCATATTAACTACATTGGCTACATTTTCAGCAGCAATTGCACAAATACACATTGATTCCATAGACAAACAGGCATAGACCTAACCAAATGTTGCCTGAAGAGTTCACACCCTGAGCTTATGGAGAGCTGGACCAAAGCCAGACTGCATGGTACTCCTGTTATTGTCTGTAACTGAACCCCTTTACAAAGTTAAACTGACTGGTTTATACATGTTGCTTCATTGTATCAAGACTCTGATAAAGTAGGACCCAACAGTTTTCAAGTTGCACTCTGAAAAACTCTGCATTGTGAAATACCCCCATTGCCTGTCCATTCATGAAAAAACAGGAAACAAGCAAACAATGCATAGAATTAGTCACTAAATCTTAATTTTGCTCATATCTATCATTTTTTTCCCCAATCTGTGTGTATTGTTAAATGTGCTTGGCTGCTTTACAAATGAAAGTCAAACTTAATGTACTAAAGGTTTGATTTAAAATCAAAATCCAGCCAACAGGTAAACGCACAGGCCCATTATTATTCACTCTCGGCATACTGCAAAGTTAATCTACAGTGTGTTCTATTAAACTTGATACCATGGCATGATACCGTACCGTATTTTCTTTTCCAATACTGATACCAATATAAAAACCTTGAATATCGGCTGATGCTTCACTTGACAGGGAATCCCAGCAATTTTTGAACATCTCTACATAATTAAATGGTTGAGATGCAAACAAAGCCATTCAAAGTGGTTTGATTCGAAAATCAATCCATTCTAGGGAACTTACTGAGTCAAAACGTATATTTAAAACACATTCCTGGTGAAAAGATACATGCAGGGTGTGGTAAGGCAAAAAAATATACTTTTTTTAGATTTAGCACTATTTTACCATTTTCAACATTACATATAACACTCAGATGTCACAGGCAGTTTCACAGGTCATTCTGGACAGTAAATAAAATGTCTGTAAGTGTGTTGTAAACAATGAGGTTCCCATCACTACTGTAAAGAAATCTGAGCAGTTAAATTTACTCTACAACAAACCTTTTTAAACAAACCACTAGGAATTATTCAGTTTACATCTTAATGATACAATTATGCAGAAATTTACAAAAACTGTGGAACACCCCTTTAAGATGTGGTTCAAAATGTGCTCAAACTACCCTCTCACTCGTACACACTACACTCTGCTACCCCATGGGAAGAAATACACAGCTAAACACATCACATCACACAGTGTGAGTGTGATATTTCAGGATAGATATTAATAGGATTGGATCAGATTCATTATTTTGCCCCCAACAACATCTGAGATTCAACATTTTCTGCTGATAATCATCTCTAATTAAAATTGTCGCAAAATTCAAACAGCACAGCTATTAGTATCTTTGTTCATACCTGATCACCAAGTTTTCCATCATCAGAGGTCACACGCTCTTTGTTTTCTCCTATCTTCAGCACCTCTGTGGCCTTTTTCTTCTCTTCCTCCTGTTTTACTCCTTCTTTACTTCTTTGTCTTTGTTCTTCCTCTTTATTGGGCTGCAGGAGTGCAGGGCCTGCCTGGAGAACAGGTTTCATGGCAGACACTGCTGCAGACTGAGGTACATCCTTCCTGGTTACGCCTCTAACCGGTGGTGCTGGTGGAGGGGGCTTCCGGCCAAAGTTTGGAGATCCTGGTGCCCCGGCTTTTCCTGCACGAACCAGAAGAGGGGACCCCCTCATTGCAGCCTGGGACAGCTTCCCATGACCCGCGGGCGGGGTGGCAGAGGGACCCTGGTTTCTCACCGCAGGGGGCGTCTGCTTTAGATTTTGTCCTGAGGCGGGCGATACCACTGTAGACCTTGAAGGTAGTTTGCGCTCCATTTGTGGAGTCCTTGACATGGCTCCCCCTGGCGGGGTTGGGGTTTGGTACATCCCTGGGGCTTCCTGACCTGCTTTGGGCTGGCTGGTTGCAGCTCCATCTTGAAGCCTGGCAACAGGCGCTGAAGCAGACTGTCCTGCCACCGGAGAACCACTTGTCGGAGTTTGATACAGATCCTCGCTGGGTAAAGCTGCCACGGTGGGCCGAGGGACCAGATAGCAGTTGTCCGAATGCCCCGTGGCCCCCGACTCCCTTGGGGTTAAATAGGCAACCTCTCCTGCTGCTTCCCCTGGAGGTCTTGTCACAGCCATGGGAGTGAGGTACACTGACTCTGACGCTAAAGCACCCTGAGATCTATATTGTGTTGCTAGTGGTGCGGGTGAAGCAGGGGTTTGGTAAACTGACCCAGTCTCACCGACCCGTCCTCTGAGAGAGGGTGAGCGAGGCCGCCCCTCCGCCCCAATCTCCCCCCAGTCAGGTCTTGGCCTGGGACCAGAGCTGGAGTGAGAGCGGGGACGCCTGCCTTCAGTTTGCCGGAGCTCCCCCTGCCTGGCCGGTCCTGATGCCCCTCCTGGACTCTGGTACACCCCTTCCCCCAGACTCGGTGGCGACAGGTACACCCCATCTGCATCTTCTGTGCACATGCCATTTGCACGGGTTTGTTGGCTGGGAGAGATATAAACTGAGTCCACACTAGGAGCCCGTCGGGCGTCGGTGCCTGGCTGGACAGGACCTGGAGCGGGGGCGGTTTGGAGGAGACGTAATCGGTTGGCTGGGGCGATGCCCTGGCGGCCATGGAGGGAACAGAGCCACCAGCCAGGTCCCCCATCCTGCTCCTGCTCCAGAACCATCAGTATGTCGCCTTTGCGGAACGCGAGCTCCTCTGGACTCTCTGCCGCATTGTCAAACAGCGCCTTCGCTAGCACTGTCTGAGATAGAGAAAAAAAATGGGAGGCAGAGAGAGAGAGAGAATTGAATAGGCTTTTGTTTCAAGTTTAAAGTAAAAGAAGCTACAGCTACAGTAAAAGAAGGACAGATGAAGTCATGGAGAAGAGGAAGGATAAACTGAACATTGATAAATCGCAGTTTATGCTGGGTAGTACAGATAAAATGCAATTTCATAGGCTGTAGTGGGCAGCTGAAATTTTGAGTTTTGTGATAACCGTTACACCAACATGCCATAAATAAATTCAGATAACGCAACATTCTTGAGCTGTGCATGTGCCAAAGCCATGAACAAGCCATGAACCAGCTGATACTGATAGCATGAATGACTAATATTTTTCAAATTCCAGCAGTGTCTGATGGTTGGAGGCACAAATGTACAGGACGCATATATAAATCATTTGTGAAATTCCACAAAACTGAAGTTGGATTCCTATTCCAATTTTCCTTTCCACCTTACATGGTGCAACAGTTACATTCAGGCACCTGTACAGGTATCAGAATGTATCTGCTACTCCATTTAATAAGGAACGGACAATTCTAACAAAAAGCTGATGAATAAGAAGCCAACTTCAGCCTAGAAATTAAGGTGCAAAAAAACATTTAGCATTTTTGCCTGCATGGCTAGGGCTAGACAGCAATATTAACATGGGTTCACCTATATATTGTTAAGTTTTTTTTTTACTATTTTGCACAATAAAATATTTCAGATTTACTTTGGTTGAACCATTGTTCAAAAGAAGAAGACAAATCTACAAAAATAAGTTACATACATATACACAAAGAAGAAAAAAGAAGTGATAAACTGTTTCATTTAACACTAAATAAGTCCTACACACAGCAATCACAATTACTTCATAAAAAATATCTGGAGTTTAAAAAGGTCATGCTGGAAAGTGCCACTCATAACTCAATTTGGTGAAGCTTAAATTCAATGTACTCAAATTTAAAAAGCTTAAATCGATTTAGCCAAGCTTCCAGCTGACTGTGCTTTCAGAGCTCAAAACAGACATTCAACTCCATCAGCTAAACTTCCACGTATTCTACTGTCAAGACGACAGCCAAACATAAAACCTATTATTCAGACAGCACAGGACACACTGACATTACAGTGTACTTCAGTTTCTCCTGAGTTCAGCAGATTGTGCAAACAAGCATGCATTAGATAAAAAATGACCTTGTTTTCTGGTTGCTTAACAAACAGAACTGACAGAGAATCTAGCAAAATCTTACTGACAAAAGCCTTGTCGCTGTTCGGGTCAGTTATTTTTTTTTATCTCCAAATAGGCAACTTTACATGAAAAGAAAAAAAACAAAGGATGCATTGGTAAATCTACCAATGTTGAGACAAAAACATAAAATTTAGCATTCAGGTGGATATACCTCTAATTTGGTGTTTAACCAAAAAGATAAGGTAATTTAACTGGGCTGACATATAATTTTGAGTTACCTGAACTTACTAATTAATAGTACGTTAACAGATTGAGACTCAGAAAGGATTATTTCACATAGAGGGGTGGGATAATATAATTTTTACTAGTGTTTCCCAGTAGTTGTATTTCCATCTGAATGTGCCAGGTCAGTCGTTTCTATGGACTGCATGCTCCCATGCCAGTAACAATTCCAACACCTTGTATCTTCCATAAAACTTGCTCTTGAATTAATCTCAGGCTATGTTAACTAATCTGTGCTAATTGACACGTCCATAAAAATGCTAGCATATCCTGTGGAAAAGGGGTTTCTTAAGTATGGAGGAACTTGAAGAAGCATTTATTGTGTGATCTGTTAAGCTGATACATACTGTCATACCTCAAGTGTACAACTCCAAACATTAAAATGTAAAACTTTCAGAAAAAGGTTTGATTTTATGTGGCAATATTGACTTTTGGCTGAGTAAATTTCCAAGCTACTGACAATGCAAACGACACAGTGCATTCACTTGAGACAGCAAGACAGATGGTTAGGGTAAACAGATTAATGGTTAAATTAAATGTTTTGACACGTTTTCTACTCTTTTCTGGAGTAAACGCAGGGTGTAAATCAAGTACCCACTCCCATCTCTGTCAGTTATACTGAGATTTCTTGTCCTGCGCAAATTGGTAATAAACATTACAGACATTCTGTGGTAAACTGCCATTACCCCACTTACCTAAGTCAAAGTAATCCTATCCAATAGTACTGTAAACCTATTATTTAAAGTCCAATTTCAATCGATGTTTAAAGCGCTATTAATTTATTAATATTATTTTATTAAAACATTAAAGTTAAAACAACATTTTTACAATGTAGAGGGTTTCAAATGCAGTAAAATGAATGAAATGCGTATATTTAGCACAGTAGCCCAGTGTCCCCTAAACATTCTGCTTTTCAGGAGTACAATAAATGCAATCATCAAATATTCGCCTGCAAATGTAAAATGGTCAAATGTAAACATCTGTCTGATGCTGATAATTTTTTAAAGCAATTATCTACTGATACAGATATGATATCACTGTGCATCCCTAGGTTTTTTTTTCAATGGTTGTTAATGTAAAAAGAGTTTAGCGCAAGAAGCAATACATGTGCATGCATACTTAAGGAAATACTTTATGACAATGTTTCATGTTCACTCTTTTCAGTAACAAGATATGCTGTTTAAAAATTATCCTATTTTGAAGATGAGATATAAATCATATTTTGTTATTCTTAGTTTTTGTTTAAAAAAAAAAGAGTTGCCATTTTAAACACTGTAGCTCGAGCTGACGCCAGCCTGGGGTGAACCTCTAGCTAATCGACTGACTTTGACTCTGCCTTCCACCAAATGGCTTGTGTCTGCTCAGTGAACTGACACTAACTATCTACTGTCGAATCGTCCAGGTGTGTGTGCTGCACAGGTGGGTTGAAGTGACTCTCCATTACAGCATTTAGGCTGTTAATGACACAAATGCAGTCCCATTTGTGCACTAATTCAAAAGAACTGTGTGGAGGTTGGAGGGGTAATAATAAAGGCTAAGTTGTTTGTGAGTGCAAAGACACTGCAACGGATACATTTTCTCATTCTCTTGTTATTACTGCCTTTTAACTCTTAGCATACTAACCTATATGCATGGGCAATACAGCAAGTGAGAGGTTATTGGCTGTCCTTTAGCACAACACAATAGAGTAAATAAGCAAATGAGAGAGGGAGAGAGAACAGATGATCATGGGAGAAATGAGCGGGGGAGGGGGTCCACATCTGTCCCTCAGTTTAGGCCCTTTTGTCATCCGCTCAGCCTGAACCTCTCTCATTTTCCCTCTCTCTCTCTCCCTCTCCCTAGGGGACTAACTACTCTGGGACAAGCTGAGCCTCTATCGCTCCTCCTCCACTTTCCCAAAGGGATTAAAAATTATTGGTTTGGACAGCAGTGGATTTAAGCTTGGTGAATGTTAAATACCAAAGCTTACATGTCAGATCAGCACATCATTAACGTCCTTCAAATAAACACATACACATATACACTTACAGAGAGTGACATGGCTGCTGCCGATTGTCCGTGTTAATGCTCGGGCTGGATCTCTGCTGGTTCCAGGTCGGACCTTTGTTCCCCCTGTTCACTCGTGGAGAGGGTGACCCATGTGCATGTTTGCCAGAACTGGGCACTGAGTTGGATCTCCCGATGGCCAGCTGTCAGAAACCTGCCTTTCCTTACATCCAAAAGAGTCGGCTTCTCGCTGAGGTCATTCTCCTGAGGTGTCTGGGAATCACATCCTCTGTCATAATGTTATCCTCCACTTTGAACCTGGTGAAATAAAACAAGCCCAATGATGTTTTCACACTTTTCAGCTTCTGTCATGATTATTCAAATATCCAAACAGCACCACGTCCACAACATTTCCTTTGATGAGAGCTCCAGTTTAGTACAGTGACCAAAACCCAGTGAGCTCAAACAGTGAAGCTGAAGAAGAGCTAAACCAAAAATCTGGTCATAATTAAAGGTTTTTTTTTTAATACCAGCCCCTATCCGACCGCCCCCAAACCCTCTAATGACCTCCTATTAGCTATCAATTACATGATAATAAGTACTTTCTTATGCTCATAGATGGGTATTCATTGTGTGTACTTTTTAAATACCTAAAGCCACGAAGACTCATCTTTTTCTTCTTTGTTGGTCACCAGACACGAATTACTCTCACATTTCAGCCCTTCACTGGGTTTTATCTGGCACAGACCTTTTTATTTCGGGCCCAGAATAGGGCTAAAATAAAGAATCAGTTCCAATGAATTCATATTCAGTCTGTTCATGGTGTGAATCTCCTTGGGCTTTTGGCGATGGTTATTATGAGGGCAGATTTGTTGGGAAACCAAAGGTTCAGCCACGTTTCGTTTTCCATCGCAGGAACCCCATTCGAGCTCACTGTCCTTACACGCTCACAGCGAATGGAAATCAAACTGCAGCTCACATTTCGAACAATGAAGCCCTTCCAGGCCCTGAAATGCATTTTCAGGTTGAAAATATGTTTTATTTCCAACACAAAGGCCACTTCGGCGTTACAGCCCCGGGCAGCGCGGAGAAGATGAGTCTGAAATACAAGAAAAAACGACGTCTTACCGTCACATTGCCGTCCACGCTGCACCGAAAGGAGCCATGAGGAAAGCCATTTAAAACATATTCCTGCAGACGGAGGGTCTCAGCACACTGCTGTTAGTCGAGCTTTCAGCGTCGCCCTCCCCGGGCCTGAACGGGGATTTGGGTTTGAATTACACTCACCACAGCAAATCCCCCTCCTTCCCCACTGAGACCGAAAGGGCGCCTCCTAGTGGACGGGCCTGTGAACAAAGACGACTTGCTTCCATTTGAGGGGTCCATATTATAAAATATTCTTGTATTTTATATTTCCCCCGAGGTCCATCTATGATGTTTGTGCGGCGTTATATACCAAAATCCGTCGTAATTCATTTTAAATGACCATGTTCACTTTTTGACGACCCACTCTTAAAACATTCAAACGAGCTGTTTTCGGTACTGTGCTTGTAAGACTGATACATGGGGTGGGGACCTGAGCACAGCAGTTAGGCCAAAAATGACTGTCTAACTGGAATGCCCCTCACTTCTACTCCTGTTGGACAGAGCTTAATGCCTGGACTAGGTTTTCTAGCTAAATGCAGTGCAAATTAACTGCATGATTGGAATTGAAAAGCTTTACATTACAAATTCACATATACATCAACTTACGTTATGGCTTTTTTGTGCTATCCTATATGGTGATTTTTTTTTATAAACAGACTGAAATAAAGCAGCACGGAACTACTCACTACATGCAAACATATAGGAAAACACATGCATAACGCTGTGGTTCTGAACCAGTAAAATGTTCATCAAAATAACTGGCACAAACATTTAAAGAATTTAGTCTTTAAGCTTTCTCTTAGACTGTATAAGGCTTGAGAAGTCATAACGAAAGAGTGCACCTTTCTACACATGGTCTGGTTTGCGCACTTCAACTCATACCAGAGCTGCTGAACTAAGTTTATTGCATTATTGCAGACATGTCTTATTTGTCACTGCACTGCACTACTATACATGTTGTTTGATCACTTTCATAAAACTCAACTGAACCTGAAAACTATTTTTGGTTAATTATTTTTGGTTGATTATGAAAAGGGTGTTCTGACTCCAGTAGGTAAAATTTAATGTAAATTGTGATAATAAACTGGCCAACTGACCTCATCAGTTCATATCCTTTTAGCCTGTAGCCCTAAAACACTCCTTGACTGCCTTGGCCATGTTTCTTGGATCGACTTGTTTCACAGTAATGCTCAGCCAATGACTCTAGAAGTATTTTCTTGCACAAGTGTAGACGTGTTTCTGATGATTTCTGCAGAACTTGTACTGCTTTCATCTTTACTTATATTGTCAAAATAGGTGGATTATCCAGATACAGAAGCTGCTAATGTATGCTGACTGTGACACCACCACTGCTAAGAAAATGGCATAGCAATAGCATAATGCTACAGATTGTCCTATTGTCGTTTTCTGTTTTATCGTATTATTGGGCCATTATTATCATTTTTAATGATCATAAAATGTTTGTGTCTTGTGTTATATCTAGCATAGTTCTGCTTTTAAAATCTCCAATGATTAGTAAATTCCTACACCCACAAACGTTTTTAGAGATGTACTTTGCAGATTTTGTGATTTTGAAGGATGTGTTTTACTATATGGTTCATCCTTCCTTTGTGCCTTAATTTTATACAACTTTATTTGTTTCTTACAAAGGACATTAGTGATCCTGGACATATATGTATACCTCAATCTCAGACAGCACAGACGACAGGAACACAACCATTTTTAGAAAAGAGAGTGAAATGCCTAAAACAAAACTAATAATAAGATATGACATACAGCACTGTACAGAAGTCAGAGACCGCTCTTCATTTATTTAACCTCCAGTCAAAATGGCCAAAAAGCACAAGTTGTAATTTTTTTAGGAGATATTTCTGAGGAGATTAGAGATAAGCTAATCCATTTGTCAAAGAAAATGTGAAAAAAGTAAAAAAAAAAAAGTGTTGAAAAAGAATATAAACAATGTATAGAAAATATTTTTTTTCTTGGAGAGGTCCACTCTTGCTTCAGATCTGAATATTCTACAGGTGTTTCTGTCCAGTTTCTACTGTGAGAAGACACCTCAACGCTAGGAAGAGTAGGATGTCAACAAGCAAAAGGATGAATGAAAGGATGTGTAGCTGTCAAGAAGCCATTACTGAGAAATGGCAACAGACAAACAACAAACAATGGACCAACCACCCCAGAGCCCAGACCTCAACATCACTGAATGTGTTTAGGATTACTTACTGTTCAGAATGGTGAGCAGCACAAAACGCAACCAGATTCTAAGACTGAACTTTGGAGATCTAGGAAAATATTCCTGCAGGTTTCTTTGAAAAGTGGAAGTAAATCACAAAAGAATGGGAGCTGTTCCAAAGACAAAAGGTGGACACACTAAATAATGGAAAAAATATGTGGTTGAGGCTTGTGTGTCATTTTCTGTTACATACTTTTTGTACTTTTTTCCTGATGCTGAAAAATGAATAATTTGTACTTAATGGCAGTTTTGACAGACATTGAGTGAATTAAGTGTGGTCTCTGACTCTTGCACAATACTGTATGACCCCATTTCCTAGTTATTTGAAAAACTGAGTGTGTATGTGTCTCAGATGTACACATACAATCACTAATATGTTTGTGCATTGTGTGTATTCATTTCATGCACTTTGTGCATTAATAGATGCGTTAGCAGTTTTAATTCACGGTGCTATATGCATCACATAAATTCATAAGTAATAAAGAATAAAGAAAGCAAAAAAATCTACTTAGACCATGAAGATACATCATGAACCATATCTACCATTTACTCACTGAATATATTTAAATAAAAGTAAGAAATGCGTCGTGCACCAATTTGATCCCAGTTTCAACAGACGCATACAACAGAAGCTGTTCTTTGAAGTCGGCAACGTATGTAAATAGGTGAAGTTTGGTCACTGCATTGTAGAAGGACAGCTGACCACGTCTGTAGTCCATGTACATTCCCAGCCTAGCCGGTGTGGCGTAATGTGTTGGAATGGCTTTACCATCGTTGATTACTATTTTACCATCTGCTGAGGCAATTGTCCAGATGCCAGCAGCGGGAGAAAAATCATGGTTGTTATCTGCATCAAATGATGCTGTACGAAATCCCACAGTCCACGGCACAGTCTGTGTTACTCGAAGTTCCAAATAGACCCTACTGCTGGGCAGGGCCTTGGATGAAACACAAATGCACTTCAGATACGTCTCAGCCGTCGGGACTCGGGGAGGACTGCTTGGAGATGCTTGATAGAGACTCTTGCCATCATTGCTCACGCTGAGGAGAGCATGAGCTGATTTAGCTTTAAGAACCACATCCGCTGTGGACAAATTACAAACAAAGCGAAAAAAAGTTTCAGGTTAAAGGTACGCTGTGATAGTGGTGACCTTTAAGTCTGGAGATTTTATTCAACCCACATCAGATACCCAAAACACTTTGGGCTGTTGAGGCATTTGCTGTGAGACCCAAATGGATTACCCAAAGTCCATGAGGAGTCATGTGATGTACAGTCAATAACCATTATATTTGGGTGATGAGTACTTTGTTACTATATTTAAGGATTATTTTGAAAGACTTTACTGAAGTATTGCTTAAATTGAACATGGTGATTTGATCTGAGTTCCTGAACATGTAATTTTATTAAATAGACATGGAACCAAATTCATATTAGTGTAACAGAAACTCCCCAATACTATGCTAATTTGTTTTTTTTTGTTTTTTTTTTTGTGCAAGAACTATTACTGCACCACTGCATTTCACACCATCAAGAAAGGAAGAGTTTTAAACCAGTCAATAAAACATTTCCTTTTTACTTTTACATCTTTCAGTATGTTAAAATATAGAGCTGAGCAATATGGCAAAATAATTCTTCAAGAACTTTTTACAGTACACATTATGTCAGTTTTTTTTCAGACATATGACCAGTTGAAACAGACAAAGCAATGCCACATTATAAAAAAAAAAACTCAAAAACTATGAACACAATGATTTATAGTCAACATTTTACATACTGTTTTGCACTAAATCCAATCAAACATGACTAATTATGCTCTTGGGACATGCAGTTGGGAAATGTTTTTTGGGCAGTATCCACAATATGCTAAGAATGGTGTATTTTGTCACGATAACGCTAAACATTGTCATTTTGTCCAGCCCTATTTAAATGTCAATGTGTTTTTACTTTAAGTACACTTTTAATTAGGATTGTCACAGAGTAATCATACCTTCACTACATATTGTCTTTGCTTTTTTCAACCCTTGCCAACAACCAAAAGTCATAAGTTTTCTGTCACTGTACCTTTAGCTGCCACAATCCAACGCCACACTGTAAACAAGAGAAAATTATTGCACTTCAAGGGCAGTTTTGCTGACACAGATTAAGCCTAGCCTCTGACTAAAATGCATTTTAAAACAGTTAAAGGAGACTCTCACATTAAAAAGCAGTTATTAAAAACAGAACAACAAAAACATCTTACCTTCATCTGGAACAACACCTTCTCTTCCTGGACGCATGTTCATGATAAAAGTTCAACAGCATATTTTAGTACACATGAGCCAATAATAAACCAACCCTACGTACAGTGAAAGACTTTCATCACAAGAAAATGAAAGTGAAGGCTGTTTATCAGAGAGATATTTAAAGTTGTTTATCACAGGAATATTACATTGTCAAGCTAGGAATTATCAAATTACCACACAAATTTCAGCACAGCCATTATAACATGTTGCTTAGTAAATAGCAAAAAAAAGTACCTCTAAGTACTTACTTGACAGACTAGGAAAATCCTTCTGAGCCTCTGTCAGACCTAAGAGGGGAAATACAACATGATTTGCAACCACTGCTTAAATAAAACAGTTCCTCCTTCAGCACATTAATAAATCTCTTTTATATACTCCATTTCCACATGCAGATAAAGTCACCTGAGCCTAAACCTGCAATATGAAAACAAGAGGGAACACATCCCCACATAACATATTTCATATTTGATAATATCTAGGTTACACACTCACATATATTAAAATAATCAGAGGAAAATATTCCGTTGATTATTGATTGGTAACATCACACTGAAGATTTAAACTGGTGATGGAGAATAACATTCACCTGGATTAAGTAGATCTTTCATCTCTGCTAACTTAGCTGC